AAACAAGCCCCGGGTAGAAGCTACTTCTGCTAACGCAGTGTAACATTTAGCATTAGCTCATTAGCCTGAGCTAACTTGGTCACGTCAAGCTAGGTGGGCGGGGTTTCAGCAACCAGGCACCTTAGTTCCTCCCACGACCCGCCTCTTTGGCCACTTTTGGTTATCCGGGAGTGACGCGCGGTGACACGCTGCCAAGATGGCGCCGGCTAGCTCTGCCGATAATGAGCTTCAGAACGGCTCTTCAGAAACCAAGGGGTGACGTGACGGATCCTATGTCCGTTGTTTTATACAGTCTATGGTCCTAACATCAAGTGACCTTCCGATTATTGCGGCATATAAAAACAAACCACAAGCCCTTTAGGTGTGTGCTTGACATCACTTCAACTCCCAGCTTTCCTTAACCTACCCAGACACCTTGTTACAACGAAGATAGGACAGGAGAGACTTCAAGCCGACCCATTCTCACTCCCCAACACAGGGGATCCCTTTAGCGTCATAGTTCAACGCAGTGGGGGAAGCAAAGGCAGGAATATGATATTTAACAGAAAAGACTGAGTAAGGAGGTGGTTGGGGTGGATGGAGGGCCAGAACGCGGACTTTGAGGAGTCCCAGATTCATGTCCCTTGTGGAAGAAAAAGTCAACATTAAATTACAAGTTACACAAGTGACGTTAGTTAACTTATATGTTAATTGATGTACGTAGTTATTTTAACCCAAACCATGATCTTTTCCTAACCTTAACCAAGTACTGTTTGTGCCTAAACCTAACCAAATTGCAACGTTTCGCAATTTTAATAACACACCGTTTCAAAATGCCGATGTTTCAAAACGTTAGCGTTTTATTTTGAAAGTCTAACCGGACGTTACATGTATTGTTGCACACTTTACTGGATGTTGCATATTTGTTGTTGCTAGGCGTTACTAACTTGACTGCGGAGCCTTAAACGTCTAAAAATGCCAAAGGGCCTTGACCAAGCGTCAATGGGAGTGAGAATGTGTTGGTCAAGCAGGAGAGGAGCAAGTTTGTAGCTAGTTAATTTCTATCATACATCGTGTTGATAAATCCGAGTATTTCTTTTGGTGAAGCTAATAGTTATTTGTTTCTGTTTTGAAGAATACAACTTCTGTAATGTTATACTGTGATTAAATAAATAAACCAAATTTTTAGGGTCCTTGTTGGTTGTTCTGACACATTTATTTTTTATTATTATCGCTTGTAATTAGCAGCCGGCTTGCTTCGTGCTTACGCATGTAAAATGTATATTTTAAAGGCTTTCTATTATAGTTTTATATTTTTCTGTTATTTATAACATTCTTTCTCAGCCCTGGAACTCAAACCATTTTTTGATGCCTTAAAAATATCTACTAGTCGACTAGAAGGGGGGCAGCCCTAGTATTCAAACTGTTCCATGCAGTTCAGTACAACACTAGGCTTTATAAGCAGTGTTTATAACATCAGAAACAAACAGGGATGTTAGAAAACGTTGTGCAATGATGCAACACTAGTTACCATGCAGACTCGGCAGTCTGTCTTTCACGGGTCTTCCTCTGCTCCTCTCAGGCCTCCTGACTGTCTCTCACACTGTGTCCTTGAGAGACCAACCTGAAGAAAACGCCTGTCAAGGCGCTGGCAGGGGAAGTCCCACGTTCCCTTGGGGCTAATAAGGATCGTGCACACTCTCCTCTCCTCAGTCTAAACTGCACTTCGTGCGTTAACAGGTGATGAGGGGCTGACCTGTGCTATACCTTCTTTCCCTCCCTCAGGGAATATTGGTTATAATTAGAACCAATTCCCTTTCGGTCCGTACACTTGGTTCAACACATTGGTATGGAAATCTTGCATCACTCCCTGAGACATCCCTGCAGCTAGACTGAGAACATCCAGCCCTGGTACAGCAGCAACTGTGATGGCAATTACATCACTTCCCTGCTGAGCGCACCGACTGAGTGACATCCTGTGATGTCACATCCAGACCATAAAACTTCATAAAAGTATGTAGAGAAGCCCAGCTTGAAACCCCCTGCTGGTTTTCTCTCTCTAAGTACTGGAGCTTAGGATAGATGCACTTTCGATACCACAATGCCTCTAAATAACAGAGGACTCTTTCTGAATTTCAGTCTGTTGCCCTGGACTATAGTTCCCATGATCCATTGCGAGGTTGCGTGCGCTTGCCAGGAGGTCTGTCTTGCAGTCAGCCTGCCCAGCATTGCAATTTGTGATACAACTATGCCCTCTACCAGGATGTGTCTGAGGGACTGAAATTGTGTGCAGGCGAGGGCTTGTTTCCTCGCTTATTGTCCGCAATGTTGGGTTTTTAAGTGGGAATAGATTAAAGAGAGCAGGGTGCAGAGCTGTAGTCTGCCTACAACAGTCTCACTGGCCTTGACAGGAATTTTGGAAGAGTTTCCTCAGGTTGCTCTCACGAGGGCACAATCCCCATACTAATGTGTTGTACTGAGTGTACCGACTGAAAGGGAAATGATAATGCATAAATGATGCAATGAACTGTAAATGGCCTTTTACTTGCAGGAGTCGTTTTAACAGTTTATCCCAGTAGGTGTATATCCCTATGTATCTCGGCAATTAATTATCTGTTCAGTTTAAGCTATTAAGCCTGATCTGTTAGAGCACTCAGCACAGAGTGTATAAAGGTTAATTTCACTGTAACTCACACATAATTATTGTGGCTAATAGCTGCCATTTTCCCGTCCAATATGAGACTGTGAATTCCAAGAACACGTTAAGAATGAGGGAATGATTTGTGGGCTTCTGGGGGTCGTTGTACTGCACTGGTTCCCCTGCTTACGGTGTGGTCCGGTGTTCGAAGTGTGCTGTGTAACATGAGTCATCATCAGTATGACGATTACTACTAATAATAATTATAGCTGCAGGCAGTATTGAGCGAGCCTTCGTACCTCCTGCACGTTGTGGTGTGCTGTTTCTGCTGCTGTTGGGGGTCGGTGGACGTGGCTCCGAATTTCATGAATATTGGACACAATACGCGCAATGGAGTGAAATCCAGTCTTTGATCTGGATCTTCGTCCCCCAGGACATTCAACCTCTCCCCTTCTCACACTCTGTCCCTAGTTTGCACGTTATCATGCCTCTCCCCCTCTCTGTGTTTGTTTGCTTCTGCTCTCTGTGTGAATGCTGTTGTCCTCTTGTGTGTTTGTGTGGCCTGTCGTCTTTTCAGCTCTCTCTGGTGAAGAGTAGTTGGTGTGGCTCAGACCTTACCCAGGTGACGCACTGCTTCTGACTCCAAATTGGCATGTAGACATCCCCATGCCGGGACTCTTATCAAGAGTCCGTGGCATTGCATTGTGATATTTCGCCATGAAAAAGGAAGTAGTCTGTAAATGGACTGCATGGTCAAATCTGTCCCAATAATGCCAATATTGAATATTCCTTCATGGTTTGCACTATGATGTTTTTATTATATTTCTTCATCAAACATTATTGTGTTAATGTGTTCTTTCATGTGTCTATGTTTAGAATGGATTGTATGTTACGCTGGATATTTTCCCTATGAGGAAATGTTACAATTCCATCACAGGAAGTAGTGGACATTTTATTTTGTTAACTGTACATCCCACACTTTGTTTGCCGTCTCTAACTCTTGGTTTGGTTCTCCACAATTACAAAAAAACTATTGCTGCTGTTATAGCTGCTGGTAAATAAAGTGCTCCAAGGTAATCCTGAGACATGTCCTCGCTTTCCACATAAAACAACACAGAGACAGACCCACTACATAGAAACACACACACACACACACACACACACACACACACACACACATAACCAATATATAAATATATATATACGTATTACTCATTATTCAGGGGTATGTTTCAATGGGTTTTTCAGCCAATAATCTGCATTTTTATTGAAAATAATAAGGCAGCAGTTTGGTCAAAGACAGCAGGCGTAGCTCTGTTGCTAGGCAACAAGCTGCAAGCATTAAGTTATGCAGAACAGATAGCTGAAATCCGGTTGTAACACAACTTTCAAAATAAAACTCGGACTCAGTGTCATAAATTTTTCGTTTTTTTAATCTTAAAATGGTCTTTTCACAGTGTTCTTCATTGTTATTAATGTTGGCAGACTGCCATCTATAATAATCTGCCAAAAAACCTTACTAATTACAAAAGATGGCCTACAATTATTTTAAGCCTTTTATTTTCATTCAAAGTCAGTTATGGCTGTTGTATTTGCTTGCAATTGTTTATATAGCACAAAATCACGTGTCTCAGAGGATCTTACAATCTTGACAACATTGGACTTTAAGTGGCTGTGTACGACCTTTTTCCCCATGCTTTTGTTTTAAAGGCCCTTGCCACTGTATTTTTCTCCCTGCCTCTGGATAGCACGTTTTACATCTTGCTTTAAGTGTTTAATAAATACATTTATAAATGATTTTCATCATTATTTACAGTACACATTGCTACATCGCTACTTTCAATTAACTTTATTGTCAACACGCTTTCACACAGTAAAACATGATCTTATATCCTTTCATGATGTGCCGTTTTCAAAAAATATAACAACAATAAACAGTAAAATACAGGAATGTAAAGGGGATTTTACTCTGTATAGACAGTAATCGTGCAAAACACATTACACTACAGCTCTCAAGGATAATCAATTAACTTAAAGGGTATCATGTATTTTGTAGAGCATTGTTTCCCAGGTGTCTAGACACAGCATAAAGCTTCTGTGATTATTTGAAATTACAGGCAAGCGTCAGAAGGTGGCGCCAGTCTCAAAGTTTATACTGTGGGCCTAAACCAAGAAGACGGTTCAGTTTCATTGAAGTCCTCAATGAAACAGTATTTTTTTAGATCACTTTCGGTATGATGATTGCAGGAATGAATGCTTTCTGTCTGAAGCATGTACAGTATATTTGCATTAAGTGGACATCACACAGCAAATTGTGTTGTACTGAATTGGTCAGCCACCCTGCGCAAGTTTCAACAGCCCCCAAATGATTTGGCATCCAAATGATCAAATATACACTGAGAGCACAGTCAACCTTGAAAGCAAGTCTGTGGAAAACTAGAAATGTGCACACAGACACCAGCTGCACACACACGCCGGGTGCTGCTCTTTTAAATCCACCTGTTCACGCGCCTTCCTGCGGTGTCTGCTGCGCTATATGGATGGTTTGTCAGGGAGAGAAAACAGCATTAACGCCTTGTGCATGAAGTGACGAGGAGCTCCTCTCATAACACAATGACAGCACGTACACAGCAGAGGTCCTTCTGCCGTTGCTGAATGGATTACATTCGTATTCACCTCTCCCGAATGGTTTTGCGCATAACCTCCTCATATTAGCTTCCAGTCATCTCTGAGAAGACCGCTGCCTCTCTATGATTGCATGATCCCCTCAGCAATACATTGGGCACAGATCGCTGATCACGCCAAACGCACTGATCTGCGACCAGCTTTTACTTCAGAGTCACATCACCGCTGCTGGGTGGACGCACTGCTGATCTGGAGAGGATTTCTGCAACAATTCGTTGCAAAAATTGTGGGGGGCCAAGTCATGGTGCCGGTACCGCAGCGGCTTCTCATGGTACCGTGAGAACTTTCCTTCTGACTCCCCCCTTTCCCCCCCTATTTTTGTTTTAGATGTTTATCGGCGGGATCGTGCTTCGTTGGGAAATTATCCACCGTTTCCCCTTTCAATTATGTTCACCTTTGCTGCCTTCTGCTACATGCTGTCTCTGGTCCTCTGTGTGTCCCTGATCTTCTTTGCAATATGGCATGTAAGTACCTTTAAATCGGTATATGTTGTGTTTCGTGTTTTCCTGGATGTGTGCACGTCGGACGCGCAGGTGTTCTGCGTAATAGTGCTACAGAACTCACACTCCTGAGCATTCATTCATTTCAAATGGATCTTTTTCGTTTTAACATCAGTTTTTGGCAGATATAATCCTCAGCGTGACAGGTGCGCACCTGTATCTCTCCTCATTCATATATGCATTCATCCTTTTCACCACCTTGACACAATATCACCAGTCTTTCCTCTTATTTGGCTACTATAATACATACATATTCATGCTGACCCAATTTGATATGCAGAAATGCTTGCAACCCTGTGCAGCATCCTAGATCAATTAAACAGCCTTCCTTTCAGTTCAATTAGGACATCTTGTAAATCTCCCTGCTCTGCTCAATCTGCCTTTAATCAAGCCTCAGCTCAGCTACACACCAGTGCCAATATGAATGACTGCATTATTATATTTAAATAATCTAATTACTTGCTCCATGAGCATCATCTCCATCATGCAGAGCCTTATGTAAAGACAGATTTGGGTCAGGTCTTTCAGCATATTGCCCTGAGTATGCTTTTTTGCATGGAAACAGCAAACAGACCTGATGCACTTGGAATGACTGATCCTCTGGCAATTACAGCTAATAGTCGGTCTGCCTGTCTGTCAGACAGTGGCCCATGTGTCTGCTCACAGAGCAGAAATAAAGAGACAGGGAAAGTGAGACTGCAGACACCCATGATAGTACAGTTAAAACGGAGTGGGTTTGTTAAAGAAAAAACAAAGCTAAATAGAATAAACATAGCACACCTTCATAATGTGTGCGACTACTTCATTGATAAGGAATAACAACACCTCCAGGTTTTGATTCACAATACAGGAACAGAAAACACAACACCTCCTTCAGTCCTGTCTGTGATGTAAATTCAGCACTGGTGGAAGGATCACAATGGAACACGTTATTCTGTAGCTTCAGCAATAATCCACATCGCACCAGGCTTTATTTTGCATTCTGCTTATGATGGCAGAAACAGGGGAGATGCCTCCGTGTGACATGCAGACGTGCAGTATAAGAAGCTGGGAGCTCCATACTGGGAGAAAACATAATTAGGAAGGAGCTGTGAGGTGGGAATATGTGGAGCTGTGGAAGCCTTCAGCAGAGCCAAGGCTGCACATTAACACCAGCCACCTGCCAAATGCTGGGAAATGTTGGCTGTAACTCTTTCCCTTCTATCAGCCGCTTTGGTAAGCAGCCGGAGAAGGCTATCTTTTTGGTCAGTCTTTTATCTCTAATTTCAAGAACTCATATGGTTTCAAAGAACTGCTGAAAACACTGAATCCTGCTGCCATCAGTGGCTACTTGACCAAAAGGTTAGTTTTTAATGCCCTGAGCAGCAGTGCATTGCTAAAAAGAGCAAGTGTGCTGAGTCAAACTACCCTGGGTAAAATCAAGCTATAAATAAAAATGAGCCAGTATAAATGAACATAAAAAGACAGAGGCTATGAAACAGGACACAGGGACACAAAGACAATGGAAAATGAGTAATGAACTGCCCTGACTCAAACATATTACCAGTCCTGTCAGCAGGTAACATGAGTCATGGGAGTAAGAGAATGACAAACGACTGCAAACAGATGGACTTCTGTCATTAATTGGCCACATCCATCAAAACATATACCCCAAAGTTAATTAGCTCACAGGTATCTGCCCTATCTACTCCTCCGCTCATTTTCAGGTACTGATAAATCTGTCGTTAGCATGTTTTGTAGGAGGGATCTCACTGACCACAACTGATTCTTCTTCCAATTCCCTCATTCACATTACATTACATAAGGAAAAAAGAGGAGGACACGCTGGCTATCTTTGGAAAATCTATTGTCATTAATCACGTTCCTCTCTGACCATCCCTGGACTCACCGTGAGCTAAGGTGTTAAGCAAGAATAGGTCAGGGAACGAGGGAACAGAACTAGACTGTGGCTATATAAGTATCCATTAAAGTCACAGTAACAAAACTACTTTTTGGGAACTATGGGGAAGTCATGTTGATGAGTTTGTCTAATCATTTTACCACTAATATACCCTATATAATCCTGGCAGCACAGTGCTTCAGTGGCAACTAAGTGCATTAATTGTACTAAAGTACTGTAATGGAACACAATTTTGAGGCACTTTTTCTTTATTTGAATGTTTTGTACTTGTATGCAACTTTTACTCCACTATAAATACTATATTTTCACCACACTACATTTACTGCTGGTATAACTACTTTGCAGAGTCCCATTTTACATATAAACTTGTAACCATCAGATTAAGTATTAATCATAAACGACCCAACAGTAGCTAAAATTAGCAGCACCTAATCCAACAACAACAGTAAAATCCAATTTACACATGGATGCATCAGTAAAGATATTCTAAGAATACATTTGTCTGCATGTGAGCACTTTTACTTTGGATATTTTAAGATTATTTCCTTCTAATATGTCCATAATTGTGTTCCATAGTGGTATTGCTACTTTTAAGTAAGGGATTAGAGTATTTCTTCCACCACTGCGCTTGCTGACAATTCTTATTTTGCAATTACAGACTAATTATAAACCAATTTTGCAGAAGTTAGCTTGAACCAAACTAGCACCAACAGTGTGTGTGCGCGTGGATTTGTAAAAAGCTTACACACTGGCTGATCCTAGAACTTGCCGAGCATTCCAGTTCTTTTTGGTACTTCCCTCTAGTCTTTCTCCTTTTTTTTCTGTTGTCACTCTATGTCTATAAAGTATGTTCATAAAACCCTGGTTGAATTTTTGTCCTCACCTAAAAAGAACTTCTGCCGTTCTGTCTAACAGTGCTAAAGAAGAAGAGAAGAGCCACAATATCAGTAAATTAACTCAAATAAATGTTTTGATAAGCCCAATTATCTAAAGTTTTCTAACATTTTTTGACATTTGCCATCATAAGCTATTGGTCATACCAGACCAAGTGAGATTATAGCAGTAAATCTCTAAGCGTATTGATTTGAGAAAGGGTTCAAAGGTTCCATAGTCTGGTCACATACTCTATCCATTAGCAGAACATTTCTCAAACTTTAACATTAATTAATAATATATGTTCAATTTGGAAACACAACACATTCAGAAACACAAGAGATCAGATTTTTAAAGGACTACAGTCAAAAGGTTTTACTGTAAATGCCTATAGCTAGTGTTCTGATCAGCCAGGACTTTTCACCATATTTCAAGAGAGAGATTTTCTTCTTCTTGCGTGGAGAGAGGTACATTTCCTAGCCGTCAGGCAGAGACTATGACTCTTGAAGTGATTCTGGCAGCTCAGGAAGAAATAATTATCCATTAGGACTAGTATATGTAACATTTCTGACAAACATGTCACACTGTTCTCACTGTGGGATATATTGACAATGAGTGGTTCACTTCAAACCAGATGCAACAATCGGCAGAATCAATCTGTTCATTACATAAAATCCAACACCCCAGTCACCCATGGGAGCCCCCACAAATGATTACGAAGGCATTTTAATTAACATACAAGGTGAACTGCGACCTCCCCCGAGCTCTACGGCTCAGTGCTTCCACGGTTTGGCTGTGCTTAAGTGATTGTCCTCCCATGTAACCACAGCCCCTAATGTGCTTTACGTGTCATTAAAGCTGGGAGCGAGCCACACGGTCCTCTGGTGCGCCTCTGATAGATGGGAAAGCCTTGCGGTTGTCCTGGCTGTGTGGCAGAGGGCAGAATGTCAAATGGACATCATTTGCACCCTCAGTTGGGTTTGTCCATTATGTTGTGGCAGTTCTGGTATTTAGAGTATGGAAGGTGCAGTAAGAAATGAACACATATTTTGCATAGATGAAGCAACAAGTAAGGCGGATTTTTCAACCGGGCAGACCATCCTTATAATATAAGTCTCAGTGTTTGATCCACATCCATCAACCTACAGACGCCTTTTCATTTCCCCAGTCTCTCCAGGCAGAGGACATTTAGGGGAATCACGTTTTCTGAGGGCTCTTTCAGAGGTGTGGCAAGCAGCTACAAACTCTTTTAATGTCGTTCAGAATTTTTCAAAGTAAAAGCTTAGTTCAAGTCCAAATACTGCTTTTTATTTTGTAGGCTAAACCACTAAAGAAGAAGTGTTGATGTGAGTAACTGTTGCTGTAATGACTGACATCTATTTCAGCACCACTATCAAAGAATTAATTTATTTATATTTTTTGCTGCTATCAAAGCACCATAATCTGGCGGCGCGCCAGATATTATTGTTGGGCCGTTTTGGCAATGGTCCATAATAAGAGAATGAACGTGTTTCCCTTGTCAATGTTTGTATAAACATGTGTTGGTTATAATGTGCAGAAACAGTGACAGTGTTTCACACTCTTGGCTTACATTTTCCATGTTATCTGTCAGTGGCCAAGTCGCATTAATATATGGTTTTACTGAATAATTAAGTAAATATCATTTCTTATTAAATATACCCAGGGTGCGATTTGTGTAAAAAACAGAGGGGGGGGGGGTGGGGGAGGGGGGGGGGGGTGTTTGTTTTACCTCATGAAAATAAGGGGAGAGAGACTGATTTAAAAGCCGTCACTTTCATTAAACCCCGTAGCTGTGTGTCCTGGCATACTCAAAGGTGTAACAGGGACACTGGGCTTCTTGTCATCATAGAAACAGATCGTCAGATTGTGAAGTTTATTGCAGCTTCAGTAATATGCCTACCCGCACCCTGAATATACCTAAAGAACCCTCATGTCTTGACTGGCCACTTTTTGCTGTCACAGAAGAGACACCTTTTGTGCTGTGTCAGCCACGGTAGCTGTCCTACGCTCTTTGAAAGTTAGAGGGCAGTGGTAGACTGGACAGATGGTTGCAATTCACAACCCTCACCACTAGATGCCACTAAATCGTACACACTGAACCTTTAATTAATGGATAACCAACATTTAAAACTTTTATTACTAAATAGGATCACAACGCAAAATAAAATGC